CTTAAAACATAGTCTTTTTAGAAAATAAAAGGCTTGGGAAAGACAGCTTCTACTGCTGCGTAAAGCCACACAGAAATCGGGAGGGACCGAAGAGCCCACAGGGCCATGATGAAGTTCTGCAGCGGGGGTCAGTCAGGTGCTGTTTCCTGCTGGTCTTCCTCTCTCGGCTCTGTGCCTCTTCTCCACATTCCGCCCAGAGCAGGCCCTGGAGGAAGGATGCCACGGCGCCCTAGAATATTTTAGTGGACAATAAATGCTTAGGTCAACCAGCTGGCCTTCCTCCCTTACAGCAATTAGAGGCCTTTATTCCTGGTTTACCGGCATCCTGTCATGCTTGATGGATAGCCTGTCCTCTCAGCCCACGTATGTTATTAGGAGCCTGTGATCAGGCTGATTACTCAGTCCTGTGCACATATTCCCAGCATCCTCTGACTCCACAGCCCTCTGCCCAGAAAGGCCTTTGGAAAAAGCCACTACCCACAGAGCGTAATTTTGAACATTTAAGCCTCCCAATAGAACCTTTTCGAACTGGTTCATCCTAGCACCTACAGTAGCATACTTAGATATTTATTTCTCTGGCATCAAGTTTGCTAATAAATTTTTAAAACCCAACTGCCCACAAGAGGGGAATTATAAAATTATGGCATATCCAGAAGAGGGGATATTATGCAATTGTGGCTAAGGCAGAGGTGGCTCTAGGGTTTCTGTGTTACTAATGTTGTGGCCCCACCCCGTAACAAAGTAACAGAATTTCTGGAGGGTGAGGCCCAGAAATCAGGATTTTAAAAAGATTCCCAGGTGATTCTAATGTGCAGCCAAGGTTGAGAACCACTGCCCTAGTCGATGGCAGCACTTTCTAATTGCAGGTGGGAATGATCTTACTGCCCATCAAGTTGACCATCACCTTCCCCCTCTCCTTGGATACTGTACCATTTCCACTGTAGGTGCCAAATCCTTCCTATTACACACAAAGCATTCCCCGTCGTTGGGTGCATGTATGTTTTATGAGAACAGCTGGGTGTGAGTATTTATATCAGCCACTGGGATCACATCTCTTTGATTTTCCTATTCTGTCCTGGCTCATATGAAAAGGGTGGAGGGAGATGCGCTCTGTCATAGTTCACTTGTAGTGGCTTTTGCCTCCCAAGCTCTTCATACAAGACCGAATAGCCAAGTCTTCCAGGAAATGGAAAGCGTTGCCTGGGCTTCCTCAGTCAGCAGCATGGCACTCATTTCGGTTTTACTGATGAAACAGAACTCTTTCCTGTGTAAGGTCAGCTTTCCTACAGAATATGTCAACACATCCTGGTCATTACAGTTGCCTGTTTGAACTCCTTCCATAGTGTCGGACTTGGTCATCCCTTTATCTCTTTTTGCCTCAAATGGAACAGCCCTCACCCTCATTCTGCCTCAAACTTCAAGCTCTTCTAAGTGATCTTTCTACCGTAGTCAGAAGGATGTGTCTAGAAGCCTCGAGTTTCCCTAGAACCTTTCTGGAATAGATACAAACGCCTTAGAATGGCAGACCTGACCTTTTATATTCTAACTTTTACATATGCGTTCTCTGATTCTCCTGCTATTCAATCACATAGTGATTTGCCTTGTCACTCTAGAAATGGAAATTAGAATCACCATGAAGTACCAGGAAACTCCTAGAATGGCTAGAATTACAGAGACTCGTTATGGATGTGGAGCACATAGAATTCTCCTCCACTGTTGGTGGGTTGTAAAATGGTGCAATTACTAAGAAAACATTCGGAAGTTTCTTACAAATTTAAATTCACAGCAACCATATGGCCCAGCTGCTCCATTTCTAAGAATTTACCCAAGAGATATGAAAATATGTGTTCATGTAAAGACTTGTACAGGAATATTCCTAACAGCTTTCTTTATAATAGCAAAAAAAAAAAACTGGAAACAATCCCAATGTTCATCGACAGGTGAATGGATAAGTTAATTGTGCTATTTCAATACCACAGCAGACTATTCAGCAATAAAAACATATGGACTACTAATACCTCCCAGAAAGTAGCTGACTCTCAAAGTAATTATGCCAAGTAAAAGAAGCCAGACCAAATTAAACAGTGCATAGTTCAGGACCCATTCATATAAATTTCTAGAAAATATTAACTATTCTAAGAAACAGGACAGGAAGCAGATTAGTGGTTGCCTGTGGGCAAGGTGGGGTGGGGGTAAGAAGAGATTGCAAAGATACAGGGGAAAACTTTTGGGGGTGATAGATATGTTCTTTTTTTATTATAATGGTTTCACAGGGGTATATTTAGGTCAAAATTTATAAAATTATACAATTTAAACATGCAGTTTATTAAAGGCCAATTATATCTAATATATATAGGTACAGGATGCATCAGTTATTGACTGAAAAAAACTAGCAAATAGTCTACCAACTTGGGTTATAAAAATTAGAAGATTATAATGAGCAAAAGGTTGGTGTTCGTGGGTGCATGTCTCCTCAGTTGCCAACCTGACCTTCAGATTTGGCCCAACCAAATCTGAAGATAAGTGTGAAGCGGGAATCCAGAAGATTTGTTATATGGAAACCTCATTGTCACACATATGAAATTGAATAGAATGGTCACATGGGCTATGACAGCCATACAAACTGAGCTGCAGGCAGGTTAAGCCTAAATAGTTAAGGAAATCATTCATCAGAATTATTTCTGCTACTGATTAAACATTGTTTGGTTACTTGTGTAGGATAGATATGTGGGAAATAACCTGTGTTTCAAGTTAGGTGCACATAAGTTTAACACCCTGTTTCCTGAATGATAATGCTGACATTCATACACACAGTTTATTACCATCTCAAGTCCGATTTCACAGGTTGGCCCCTCTGCAATAGGTTGTTAAAAAGTTGCCTGATCTCTCAGAGCCACCCCTTGGTAGCAATATAAAAAGTTACACAATCTGAATTGGAAAATTTTTGGTTAGAGTTTTGCTTTTCTGACAGAGTTTAAGCTTTTCAAGTATTATGACCATATCATTTTGTAAAAAGCCATTTTCTGTTGTGGAAAAATAAAGAGGCCAGGAAAGAAAAGACTAAAGATGTAACCCTGGCTCTCCTACTAAATTTCCTTGACTGCAAAATGGGGAAAATAGAAGTACCTACCTGTACTGAGTTGAATGGTAGGCTCCCAAAATATATATTCATATCCTAATCCCAGAAACTATGAATATTACTTTATTTGGAAAACTAGAGGCCTGATGCACGAATTCATGAATGGGTGGGGTCCAGCCAGCGGCTGGCAGGGAGAGGGGCCTAGGAAGGTTGGCTAGCAGCGCCCCCTAAGAAAGAGTTGGCCACTGCAGTGGGTATCATAGCAACCAGTCATTCTGGTCACTGACTATATATATATATAGTATTTGCTAGTATAATGAAGTTAGTGATCTTAAAATGAGGCGATCATTCTGAATTATCCAGGTGGGCCATAAATCAAATTATAGAAAAGCAAAGGGAGATTTGAGACAGACAGAAGAGGAAAAGAGAAGGTGATGTGAAGATGGAGGCAGAGAATGAAGTGCTGTGGTCACAAGACCAAAAGTCAGCAACCACCAGAAGCTGGAAAAGGCAAGGAATGGAATTTTCCCTAAAGGCTCTGGCTGGAGAGGTCATGCCAACACCTTGATTTCAGACTCTAGCCTCCAGAACCATGAGAGAATAAATTTCTGTTTTCTTAGCCACCAAAGTTGTGATAACTTAATTCTCCAACCTCAGGGAACCAATACATGACCTCATAGAGTACTACAAATGGGAATAATAGTACTGCCAACATTGTAGGTTTGCTATGAAGATTAAATGAATTCAGTGAGTTAATATTCATAAAGCACTTGGCAGGGTGTTTGTTACCTAGTAAGCACTATTGAAGTGCTTAGTGAATTTTTATAAAAGAGAACTGAAGTCAATGGTTGATGATGACATTACTTTTCTGGTTCATGATTGGTGGGCTGGACACCATAATATTGGAGCTGCTGGGGTCCAACCCCAGCAGGTCCAGGGGTCCCCAAAGGTGTGGACGGAGTCGGCGAAGAAGGAATGACACAGAGACAGCGTTCAGTTGATCAGCAGCCTTGCCAGGATCTCTAGCCACAATCTTCTGTCTTCTAAGTTCTGTGTCTCGGGTCTGTCTCTATGTTCTGCCTCTCTAGGTTCTGTCTTCTAAGCTCTGTCTTCTAAGTTCTGTCTCTTCTAAGTTCTGTCTCTAGGATCTTCATCTAAGTTCTGTCTCCTATTGTCTTGTTGCATCTGTATTTATACCAGTTGACTCTAATCCTATCAATCTCTATTCCAAAGGTTAGGGCGTTTCTTATCTCCATTCCAGGGAGTAAAGATTATGTACTTAAGCATGATTGTTCGTAGTTAAAGTGATTAATTGCCCGCCTGGCAGTTAAGAGGTTTTATTCCCTCCCTAACTTCAGGGGGAAATCCCTACCTGGGGAAACAACCTTTCTCGGGAAGGTGACCCTGGTTAAAACACAGTGCCAAAAAGGAGAGCAAACATATTAAGAACAGTATGCCATATATGCCAGGTCCCTTGAAACAGCAAGGATGGACCAGCTCCTGGCATGGAGCCTCCTGTTAGATTACAGAATTGAGAACATAATCATGACTCGGTGAAAAGATTGAGAAGAGTAGACTCTACAAAGATTCTTTCGAGCCCAAATGTTCAATAAAAGGAACCCTTCAATTCTCTGTATTTGAGTCCTTGGTTCTCTTTTGGTTGTCTCTACAACCCCTTAGTCCCTAAATGCAATATAGAACAGAATGTAGGAACCACAGGAGAAAATCACTTCTATTGCCTCCGTTGGAGCCTAAAATTCCTTGAGGACCCCAGAATGCAGAATTCCCATGCCTATTCCTCGCGCCTATGTCACACCTGCAGAAAACTACGATTCCCAGAAGGCCTAGGTTCCCGGGGGACGGACCTCGAAAGGGGCGGAGTCTAAAAGGTCGTTGGCCTATTCCATCGTCCAAAGCGGGAAGGCTTGCCGGACAGAGTTGGGAAGGAAACCGCCTTCCGATTGGCTGCACGTAGAAGGCCGGCGTCCTGCGCGTGGTTGGCCCTGGCAGAGGGAGATCCTGGCCGTCGGGGACTAGCGCTCAAACTTCCCGGGCCTAGAGCGCGGGGCCTGCCGGGAAAGCGCCGGACGGTTGTCACCTGCGGGCTGGCAGCCGCGGGTGGGCTCCGACATGCAGAGCACAGACCTGGGCAACAAGGAGAGCGGCAAGATATGGCACCGCAAGCCATCCCCGGCCGCTCGGGACGGGTAAACGCCGAGACGGGAGGGCACCGTCTGTGCAGGGGGTGGGGGCCGGCGAGGGGCGGGGCCTCGCTTTTGGGGAGGCGTTGGAGGGGCTGTTAGAGAGGATCGCTGCAAGGGGTGCAGGGGGCCAGGGGGAGGTTCGGATTCTGGCTCTGATCGGCCCGGGATGCCTGGCTTGGGTGACTTCAGGAGGTGCCCATAGCCTGAGTTTCGGACACCCCTTCCCAGTCCGGGGGCCAGGGTGTGACCAGGATTAGCCTGGGGCCGGAGACAGGTGGTCCTCGGAAACACGCGGGAGCATTTGCGCTCCTGGTGATGCCTAAATCTCCATAGCATCCTATGGTGTTCCTGGTAGAGGCTCAGTAAGACTCGGTTAGCTACTGCAGCTGGACAAGAACTCCAGATGCGGGCGAAGGAGAACAGTGCATTTCCACCCCTTGCAAAGGCCGCAGTTGGTCCATCCTTCAGTCCCTGCCTGCGTTCAGACAAGCATTCACTCTTCAGCTATTGAGTGAGCTCCTACGATGTGCCAGGCTTCCCAGCGCTGAAACTGCAATAGAACAAACAAACGCCCGCTTCTCTGGAGTTTACATTTCAGCTTGTCTAGGGGCGGTGGTTCCACAATGCAGGTCAGCCTTCCAGTAAGGCCAGTGCTTCTGCTTCTGGTCCTTTTTTTTTTTTTTTTTTAATATATTTTATTGATTTTTAACAGAGAGGAAGGGAGAGAGACAGAGAGCTAGAAACATCGATGAGAGAGAAACATCGATCAGCCGCCTCCCGCACATCTCCCACTGGGGATGTGCCCGCAACCCAGGCACAAGCCCCCGACCGGAATCGAACCCGGGACGCCCCCAGTCCGCAGGCCGACGCTCCATCCACCGAGCCAAACCGATCTCGGCTGGTCCTCTTTTCTTAATAGACTTCTTCTTGTTCTTGTTGTTGTTATTGTTGTCCCCCTCCCCCTCCCCCTCCAGTTTAGGTTCACAGCAAAATTGAGAGGAAGGTACAGATTTCCCACATACCGCCTGCCCCCACACATGCAAAGCCTTCCCAATATCCATATCCCCCACCAGAGGGGTACATTTGTTGCAATGGATAAGCCTACATTGACACGCCATTATCACCCAGAGTCCACAGTTTACATTAAGATTCACTCTGGGTGTTGTACATTCTATGGGTTTGGACAAGTGTATAATGACATGTGCCCACCATCATAATACCATACAGAATATTCTCACTGCCCTGAAAATCCTCTGTGCTCTGCCCATTTGTCCCTCCTCTCCCAGCCCCGCTTTGCATTCTGTTCCTAAATAGCTGTCCTGTCTAAGGCTCAGCCTCTCCTGAGTGATTGTAATGGTAGCCTTTGCCCCAAAGGTGATGCCATGTTGGTCCCAGTTGCCACACTAGTTGACCTTCTTGCTTCTAATTCCCTAGGATTTCCCGGACTTTGTTTCATCACTTGAGTTTGTGTTTCAGTGTGCTTCTTGTTCTTGTCATTTTTCTGTTGATTCTTGGGCTGCTCCTCTACAAATCAACAGACTTTTAAGTGCCAACTCTGCATGCCTGGAGCAGCACAGTGCTAGTCGTTGTACCAGCTGCTTGTTTGGTTTCTGGTTCCTATCAGTCCCCTAACAGTGCTGCTGCCCCTCCAACTCCATTGATTAAAATGTTTTGTCCAGCGTTAGGATTCTGTAGTAGGAATTTTCTTTGTAAATACCACCCCTACTTCTGACGTTTTGTAAATATCCTAAACGTTATTGCCAACCCACAATAATTCTCTTTTTTTGCCGTTATAAAACATCGAGATATATGTGCAAGATTCCAAAAATGAAAGAAACAAGTTAGTGTGCAAATGTCCTTATTTGTTTCTTCCACTAAAACAGCTTTTTTTGTGTGTTAAAATCCTTCACTATGGTGTTGAGAAAGCAGGGAACACTGACTGTGGGGTCACATGGACTTCAGTTGAAATAAATATCCATTTACTAGCTCTGTGACCTTGGGCAAATTAATCCCTACGGCTGTAAGAGAAGATAATCATACCTACCAGATGGGGTTGTCGTAAGGTGTTATGAAGACTTTAAAATAGTGTCCCCTGCATCCTTGTGTTGAGAATATATTTAATGTTTTTATTTTGTTTAAGGACTTAGGAACTCTATCAGGCAACCTGTGAACAATTGAGACAGTTTTGCTAAAATAAATATTAGTAGGGGTAATTTATATGAAAAATTAGAAGGGGAGAATGCTGCTATTAATTGTGACTATATTTAGCTGGTAAGGTTATAATCATTTTTATGTATGTATTAGTGTTTTTCTGTGTTTTCCATATTTTGAACAATGATTGTGTAATTTTATATTCCAAACACATAATAAATGTTATAGAAAAAAGACTGTAGGCAAAAGTCATTTGCTCTGTCTGAGTTTAATTTCCTGGGGACATTTTAATGTGATTATTTGTCATTTCGATACGTTTATTTCTCCCCTCTCCCTCTGAGGATATCAGAGAAAAAGCAGAGTTGGGCAATCGTTAAAATGGCAAAAACAGATTTTATTCAGGACTATTGCAATAGTGGAAAAGAGACCTCAATACAGAACTGGTCTGGATTCTGAATACAGCCGGGCAAGTCGGAATTTACAAGCAAGGAACAGGGTGGGGGTCAAACAATGGATGGAAAATTATTAGGAGAAAGCATCTGGGGAAGGGAGTTCTGGCTAAACTGACCTAATAGGATTCTGGCTGAAGACAGGCCAGGGTGGTAAGACATCCCCTGGGAGACGGAAGATGAGGAACAAGATCACATATCAAGGATGACGGGATGTTGAGGATAGGGGATTCTGATTAACCTGACTGAGCAGAGTTCTTGCTAAAATTAGATTTTATAAGGAAGTGTACAGATGGGGCCTGCTAGAAGGTCAGGAGCCTGACTAAAGCTTGGTCAAGCACAGACCCACTCTTTCTCAGGGACTAGATAAAAGTGAGCATTAACAGAATTTTGCTGTTTCACCCAATGAGTCAGACAAGCCCTTTTTAGATAAACTGAAGAACATGATTAATGCACTTAATTCAATTTAGTATTTTTTAATGAAGTGATACTGAGCAAAATAGATCTCTCTAATATTAAAATTCAAAAATGTCCCTAGAGTCAAATTTTCATGATATGAAAACTATTATTGCAATAAAGAATGGGGCTATTCTTGTACATGACCTGAATATACACACATATTTTAAGGAGTTATTTTGTGCTGTAAGTTTTAAATAGCTTACTTTTTAGTAGATATATGCTTTTGCGCGCGCTCTCTCTCTCTCTCTCTCGCTCTCTCTCAAAAAAAGTAACTTTAGACCAATATAGCTGAAAATAAAACTCAAGGACACTTTCATTTTGGAACACTATGTCACAAAAACAAAATCTCATTAGGATATCTTAAACTTGGAATATTGGATTGAAATTTTCCTTCTATATGGTAGCTTGTGATTTATATAAAACTTACTGTTTTTATCATGTCTGTTGCTTACTGTAACAATTTAAATCCAAAATACATTCTCCTTTATCCTGTTGTCTGTCAGTCACAATTTATAAATCTGTTCCTATGTGCATCTATTTTTTAAATGTGTTTTTACCACTAACCTGGAAGTTCCATGAGGGCAGTATCCATGTCTATTGATTACTCTTAGTTCCTGGCTTATTCTGTGCATGACACATAGTGACTTGTCAGGTGTTTGATGACTAAATGAACAATAGCTACTTTGATGAGTAATTTTCTGAACTGTTTTCAGAAATCATTGTAGGATTGCTTCCAGTAGAGGAGAAACAGCAGCAATAGTGGGAGAGGGAAGAATGGGTAGGCAAACAACTTCAAAATTAGTAGGAGAGGGATCAATAGTAGGAGAAAGAAGAGTGGGTAGGCAAACAACTTCAAAATTAGTGAATTATGCCATAAAAGCCATATTTTTCATAATAACAAGTAATGCCTGACATGAAATTTAATGTGTGTGTGTTTGGTATTTTTTGCAGAATTATAGTGAACATCATTCATACCACTTCTGATTACCTTCCCAAAGTTCTGCGATTTTTGAATGTGGCTTTTGATAGCTCAGGTGATTGCTTAATTGCTGGGGATCATCAAGGAAATATCTATGGTTTTGACTTGCCTGGAAACCGGTGAGTGATACTTTTGACATTTGCCTTATTTAATGTTATTAATTCACTGACTTTTGGTATCTGCTATTACTTATTCACCCAGGAAGATTTATTAAGTTCTTAGTGTGTTTCAGGTGCCTTGAAAAAACACTCTCTTAATGCTGATGGAAGAAAGTGGGGAAGGATAGAAAGATAATACGGTTATACTAGTATGTTTGAGAGAATTAAATAAAGTTCTGGTTTTAACAGAATCTCTAGTAGTTCATTTTCCTTAAATTTAAAGATTTAGTATTGCCAATTTGTCAGTAAATGTCTTGTACTTCATTCAGCAATTTAGAAAGAACACAATTTCTTCGTACATTGTTGTCAGAGTGCTAGATCTAGGGATTTTAAAGAATTGATCTTCTTCTTCCTCCTCTTCTTCTCTCCCTTTGCAATTAAGTGAGACTCATCAAGGGAGGCATTCATGCAGTGGGGGCAGGTGGGAGGGAGACCTGCACTGCCCAGCCAAAGTCAGAACGTGTCTGCATGGGGGTGGGGGGGCAATCATGATAGGGGCGTTGATCAAATGAGTACGTACATTGAGGATAATGGGGGCCAGGTTTCTAATTCTTGGAAAGGAAGGAAACTAGAATGAGTCTGTGGTACTGGATTGCAATTTGATATGTCTATGCGAATTCTGATTTTGAATATATAGAGATATAGGAATAAATAGAGGTGTGTGTATGAGCAAATGAGTGAATAATATATACATATACTTCCTAGCTTTGTCCGTTCATAGGACCTGGGAGCAACAACAGCCTCCCCGGCTTACAAAGAACATGCTCACTTCTTTTCTAAACACCACATCTGCTGAAAGGATTCGGGGATTCTTGCAGAAATGACCACTTTCAGGATGGAGGCGGGCAAAGTACAAGATGATCCTGGAACTTTCTGTAGCTAGAAAGAAGGAATTTTTCGAAAATAATGGGAATGTTTCATGAGGACATAAATGTCAGCTTGAAGGAGTTCCCTCGGGCCATATTGTAAACAATTTGAGTATTAAAATAAATAATGATAGTAATGGATCATAACTCATTGAATAAAATAGAAATCCAGGCATCTGTGCTGCACTCAACAGTTTAATGAGAGCAGATATTTGCATAATCAGAGAGAACTTCCCAAAAAATATTTATTAAGTTCAGAGGAAAAGGGGTAATTTTGCAGTGAAGAAGCCTGCCAAGCACCACCTGATCAAATGATTACAGTTAAATGAATAGTGGGACAAATCAAAACTTGTGTGCTACCTGATAAGGTACAGTAAAGAGCATACAGTGTCACCTCTGTGCTATTCCGTTCCAAGGCCATGTAACCGGAATCTAATCTGTTGGATCACCAGGCCCAGGTAATGGAAGGGCATTGTATTACAAGACTGGCCTGTAATCTTCACAGGGGTCAAGGCCATGACAGTTGTGGAAAGACTGAAGAGCTATTCCAGACAGAGGGAGGCTAGACTCATGACAAGTAAGGGCATGAATCGGAACTGGTCCTTTTGTTGTAAAGGACATTACGGGGACAACTGACAAATTGAATGGGGTCTGAGGAGTAGATGGTGGTAACATAAATGTAGTTTTCTGGTTTTGATGGTTGTATTGTGATCACACAGGAGAATTTCCTTGTTTGTAGGAAACATGATCTTAGTAACTTATTTGCAAAAAATTCAAGAAAAGAAGAGATCGTATGTGATTTATTTATCTGTGGTTTACTAGATAGAAGTCTGTTATTCATGTTTCTCCTCATTACCAAAAATGCAATGGTTACAGTTCTCCCACCCTTTACTCTTGCCTAACCTACCCTGCCAATTCCCGGACTTAAATCAATACAACTGTCTCTCCTTTGCTCCCACTGCTAAATGAAATAAAAATAATTGTTGCTTGGCTGCATTACAGAATAATAAATATTTCATTTGCTTCTCTTGTTATTTACTTCTCCCATCCTCTTCTGAGTATTTGTTTTTGTTGTTGTTGCTAATCCTCAATGGAGGATATTTTTCCATTGATTTTTAGAGAGAGTGGAAGGTAGAGGGAGAGACATAGAGAGAGAAACATCAGTGTCTGACACATTGATTGATTGCCTCCTCTATGGCAGGTCACAGGGTATTGAGACATGTACCCTTGACTGGTATCGAACCTGGGACTCTTCAGTCCACAGGCCGACACTCTATCCACTGAGCCAAACAGCGTAGAGCAGTCTCTGAGGCTTTCAAACCTTTATCCATTTCCTTGTGTTGGACCCTACTCTTATTTTGACTGCTGCCTTCAAGCTTCCCTTCCTCCTCCCCAACGGCAGCCTCAAATATATCTGAAAGTTCAGCCATCTGTACCTCTTTGCCACTTTATTCATAAAAGTAGGTGATCCTGCTTTCTTCCAGGGCTAATCTCTGTCTTCTATAGCAACCCCCGGGTCATGAGGTCCTCTCTTTTATTTTTTCCACGTCCCTGTTCTCTCTGTAAATATTTACAGCCGAAACCGGTTTGGCTCAGTGGATAGAGCGTCGGTCTGGGGATTGAGGGGTGCCAGGTTCGATTCCGGTCAAGGGCATGTATCTGGGTTGCGGGCACATCCCCAGTAGGAGATGTGCAGGAGGCAGCTGGTCGATGTTTCTCTCTCATCGATGTTTCTAGCTCTCTATCTCTCTCCCTTCCTCTCTGTAAATATTTACAGCAGAGCAGAGGAGTAAGTGGCAGAGCTGAGATCTGGCCTGATTCTAAAATCCACTGTGCTGGGCTTCCTCACAACCTTCCTAATTGCCTAAGCCAGTGGTTTCTACAATTTTTCTTTTATTAAATGCTCTTGTCTTCCCTCCTCCCTGAAATGTTTTTTTCTTATGCTTCAGGGTACAACATTTTCCTGATTTTTCTACCTCTTTATTTTTTCCCGTGTTTTGCTGACTCTTCTTCCCTTTATTGTCGTGCTACTTTGGGATCTGGCCTTGGCCTGCTTCCTTCCATATTCCAGGTTCCTCTTTGATAATCTCACTACCCGCAAGCCTCCGGGTTCACTCAGCTGCCATGTGAATACTGGTAACCCAGATCTGCTTCTGCCACCACTGGGTAGTTTCCAGACCGGCTGCCATGCAGCCACTGGCCGCATGGAGCTCTTGAACCCCTGAAAGGTGGCTAGTCCAAATTAAGATGTGTTGTTAGTGTAAAATATGCACTGGGTTTTTAAGATTTAGGATGGAAAAAAAAGAATGTAAAATATCTCATTAATTTTTAATTAATTGTTGAAATATTATTTCAACATATTGAATTAAGTAAAATATATTAAGATTAATTTGACTGTTTCTTTTTACTTTTTTAATGTGGCACCTAGAAAAATTTAAATTATACATGTGACCTGCATTATATTTCTTTTGGACAGAGCAGCTCTAAATGTTTTGCAAGGGCCTAATATATCCAGTGGTTTAATTTCCACATGTTTAAAATCCAACTTATTTTTCCTGTCCCCAAACTTGTTCATCTTTTGCCCAAGCTTGAAAAATGTATTTTTTTGTAGATTAAACTCTAGCTTTGTGCCAAGTACTCTGCTAAGCACTTAACGTATTATTTCATTTAGTCGTTGTATAGTTAATCATCACGATAACCTTATGAGATATCTTCTTATCTTCATGTACGCGTGAAGAATTCCTGCTTTCTCCCTTGACACCATGTCAGGGGGTCACTGAGCCTCTCTCCACTTGACTTCTGACACCTCTTTTGCTTGTTCTTTCACTTTATACTCATAACTCTGGTTGAGATTTTCTGTAGCGGCTTTCTCAGTGAGCACTTCTTCCTTGTCCCTTGGTCCATGTGCCATTGCTACCAGAATCATCTTTCTAAAAGACATGCCTGATCATGATTCTGCTGGCTTCCTACTCTGTAAGTAAGAGCCAGACTCCTTTCCATGGCATTTAACTCTCTTCTTAATCTATTTTTGGCCTGGGTTTCATTTTCTTCGTCTCTAAGGACTCCTCCAACATAAAATTGATGGTTATTGGAAGAATTTTTGATACTAATGCAGTCATCTCTTAATAGGTTTAATCTTGTTCAGCGAACAGCACAAGCTTGCACAGCTCTGGCCTTTAATCTTCATAGGAAGTCTGAATTCCTTGTGGCGTTAGCTGATTATTCTATTAAATGTTTCGATACAGGTAAGAAGTCCTCCTATTTGTCTTTTGAAGCAGGGTGAAATATAGACTGGAGTCCTGCAAGGGGTCTGTGGGAGCAGTCCCCAAAAGCCATCCCTCACTAGCCACAAGTTCAAGGGCTCCAGGGCCATCCTCTCGTCAGATCAGCTGGCTGTATACTCAGGGTTTCCCACAAGTACCCTCTGGCTTGATAATTCACTAGGATGATTCACAGAACTCAGGAAAGCACTATGCTTAGGATTATAGTTTTAATGTAGCAAAAGGATAGAAATTAGACCCAGCCAATGAAAGAAATATAGGGTGGAATCTGAGAAGGTGCCATTGTCCTCCAGGACACATTACGCTCTCAGCTTCCATGTGCGGCCATCCCCACTGAGTATTGCCAAACCAAGAAATTCACCCAAGCTTTGATGTCCAGAGTTTATATTAAGGCTTCATTGTGTAGGCATGATTGATTGGGTTATTGCCCTCCGAGATGAACTCGGTTTTCATCCTTTCATCCTCTCTATGGAGGTCAGACTGATATGTGGCCCAAAGTCCCAACCTTCTAATCGCTCACATGGTTGGTCTTTCTGGTATGGCCGACCTCCACTTTGAGGTTCTCCCCTTAGCATAAACTATCAGCTGTTGTCTGAATAACAAAGACATTCCTATGGCTGTGGAAGTCCCAGGGGTTTAGAGGTGCCTCCCCAGAGCCTGGATAAAGACTATACCTCCCTTTGAAGGCCAAATTCCGGATACACAGGACAGAATAATACTTTTTAAATATAACCTATGTATTTCATACAAAATTTTTTATAGAGTGTAGAGTTCTATAAACTGAACCTCTTATTCTTACTAAGAAAAAAAGGTGTCTCAACTGTATTTTTTCTTGTTATTAAAGTAATTGATGTGTTATGTTTAAAACAATATATGCACTATAATAATAATAATAGTAATAATAGTGCTAGCGGACCCTCAGTGTTTACTCTTTGTTCTGTGACTTGATACATGTTAATTAATTTTAATCATCATAATAACCCACGAAGATGAATACTTCTTATCCCCATTTTGCAAATGAGGAAATGAGGCACAGAGTAACTTGGCCCAGGCGCCACAGTTTCTAAGTGGAAGAGCCAGGATTCCCAATCTGGTAGTCTAGCTGCAGAGTCCCTGTTCTTCATCACTGCTACATGTGCTAGAGCAGCGGTTCTCAACCTGTGGGTCGCAACCCCTTTAGGGGTCTCCTAAGACCATCCTGCATATCAGATATTTACATTACGATTCATAACAGTAGCAACATTACAGTTATGAAGTAGCAACGAAAATAATTTTATGGTCGGGCCACAACATGAGGAACTGTATTTAAAGGTCCAGAAGGTTGAGATGACGTCATTACCAAATATTCTATCTACTCTGTTGATATTTGCACAACCAGAATTATTTAACCTATTACATATTGATGGACTTTAAACTGTTCCCAGTTTTTAGTATGACCAACATTGCTGTCACAGAAATTCTGAAAAACTATGTCTTTATGCTTCTGTGCGATTGCTTTCCTTACATTCCACTCTGTTCTTCTGTCTTAGTTCCATCTTTTTATAGTTTCTTCTGTCTTATTGATACCCTCCCTCCCCCATGAGGCCCCTTTGTTAAATATTGTCTTCACCCCTCCAACTACCGCCCTCTGTCTTCACTACCAAGTCCTGCATCTTTGAAGCGTCCATCAGTGCATTCTGATTCTTGCTCCCCCAACTCCATGCTACTGAGACTTCTATCTCCAAGGTCATGAGTAACTTCTTATTGTTTAAATCCTCTTTTAACTCTCATTCTACTTCTCATTCAACACTTTGGATGACTTTAAGAGTCTTAGTTTCCATACTGTCTCTTGGTTTTTCTCCTGCCTTTCTGACAATTTCTATAGTAGTCTCTCTCCTGGCTTCTTATACTAGTAGTGGCTCCCAGACTTTGGATTTTTGACTCAATTAAAAACAAAAAGTAGAAGAACCCACATAGGTTGTCAACTTTTAGTTTTGCTAATTGACATTAGAAAAATCATAACTTCATAAAACAAAGGGTTTTTTTAACAAAAAGAAACTTAGAAGGATATAATACTAGATTAAAAAGTAGTACTTTAAATTTAGCCTTCTGAAAAAGTCATTATTCTTATTTTTCTCATTTCACTGAAGATTAGTGAAAAATTGACCATTAATGCCAGACTTTTTAGACTGGAGCTTAGAAACCACTACTCTCTCCCTAAGGATTTATCTGTTCCATGAAGATTAGTGAAAAATTGACCATTAATGCCAGCTGGAGCTCAGAAACCACTACAATCTCCCTAAGGGTTTATCTGTTCCG